TCCTCTTTCTCCTCCTCTCCTCTCTCCTCTCTCCTCTCTTTTCTTTCCTATCTCTTCTCTCCTCTCTCTTCTCTCCTCTCTTCTCTCCTCTCCTCTCTCCTCTCTCCTCTCTCCTCTCTCCTCTCTTTTCTCTCCTCTCTCTTCTTTCCTCTCTCCTCTCCTCTCTCTTCTCTCTTCCTCTCTTCTCCTCTCTCCTCTCTTCTCTCTCCTCTCTCCCCTCTCCTCCTCTCCCCTCTCCTCTCTTCTCTCTCCTCTATCCTCTCTCCCTCTCCTCTGTCCTCTCTCCTCTGTCTTTTTTCTCCTCTCCTCTCCTCTCTCCTCTCTCCTCTCCTCTGCGTTTTGCGACCAAGTCCAAAAGTGACAACAGTTCTGCATTTCGCGACCACGACCCCCCCGATCCCTGTGACTGTTGACACTTTTGAGACGCGCAGACCAAGCGCAAGTCCAACAGTGACGACAGTTCTGCATTTCGCGACCACGACCCCCGGGTCCATGTCAATGTGACTGCTGACACGTGAGACGCAAGGACCAAACACGAGTCCAAAAGTGACAACAGTTCTGCATTATGCGACCAATGACCCCCTCGATCCCTGTGACTGTTGACACTTTTGAGATGCGAAGACCAAACGCGAGTCCAAAAGTGACGACAGTTCTGCGTTTCGCGACCACGACCCCCCTGGTCCATGTGACTGTGGACACTTGTGAGACGCGAAGACCCCACGCAAGTCCAAAAGTGACGACAGTTCTGCATTTCGCGACCAATGACCCCTCGATCCCTGTGACTGTTGACACTTTTGAGATGCGAAGACCAAACGCGAGTCCAAAAGTGATGACAGTTCTGCGTTTCGTGACGATTTTCGGCGCGGACGCTTGCGAACACACGGCGGGCGCTTGCGAACACACGGCGGACGCTTGCGAACACACGGCGAACGCTTGCGAACGCTCCGCACGGATTTTGCGTCAACTCCCAACCCCCAGACCCCCAACCTCAAAACGAGAACCCTTCTGCTGCGCATTCGGGAAAAGACAGTTCTTTAACTTGTGTGCCAGGAGCGGGAGGCGCTTAGCAGCCCATCCAGCGCTTGGAACTGAGGACACGATGGTTGCAGTTGAGCCTTATTGAGTGCTGGGCTGCTTTTGTGTCCTGAGGTCCAAAAGTTTGGCAGGTCACAGCGCTTTAGCTGTCAGTATATTGGCACGAGGAAGTGTCACTTATCAAAGGTCAAGCAGAACATCCGATTTGACTTTGCAGGTCGCGGCGGCGTCAGGATGTGCCGCACAAGGCATCCTTCCTGGTGGTTCTGTGTCTGCTGCGGCCATTGCCTGTCCTGTATTGTTGACAGGAAGTTTGGGCAAATAGCTGCCAATCTCACCTTCTATTCGAGGCGAGAAGGAATTACCTCTGTCGTAAAGAAATCAGATGCAAGAACAGGAGTTGGTGTTGGCCCGTGATGTTGACTGAGGTGTGGAGACCACCGGAGCTAGTCAAGGCCCAGTCAAAACAGCATGCAGTGCTGTGCCCTGCAAGAGCGCAAGGATTGGGAGCTGCCTAGATCTGTGTCGCGCCCATCTAGCGTCAGAGTGAAGCCTCCTCGTCTGCAGCGCCGGATTCTCAAACAAGCTGCAAAATTTGATTTTTTTTAAAAAAAATGGCTACTCCAGCCATGTGCGGTGAGGTTCCTGGACGGTAAGCTCTGAATCGTGGTTGCCAAGCCTCTCGGGTCCTGGAGGCTCGAATGGTTGCACTATGTCACTATGGCCATTACAACGTGTCCAGAACATGATCTTCTGTGTGGCAGGTGAGGAGCCCAATCCAACTCCATTGAGGCGCAAGCTTTTGCAAGTCAGTGATGTGTCAAGTGGCAGCTTGTTTGAGCTCAAGATTGCCACAAGCGAGCTGGGATAGGCCTGAACGTATGCAGAGCGCGTGGCTGGCTGACAACGGAGAGAGTTTTGGCTCAACGACAGAAGTAAGGGGACAACAAACCCATGCGAATATACGAACGCAAGCGCAATGCTTGCATTGGTACTAGAGTTTCCTTGCTGAAAGGTTTGTGCGGCCTGCGCCTTTGAAGGCAGCTCGCTGTGATGTGAAAGGTGGAGTGGAGGATGGGTATCAGAAGTGTGACAAAGCCAGGCAAGAATTCGCGTGGAAGCCATGCCATCCCCTCCAACTCCTGCCACGTCTGCGACCTAGCGTGTAGCAGTACAGCATCAACTTTTCAATCAGTGCTAGCTTCAGTCGCCCCTGATTTGCTGACACATTGGCTTCTTGCCCTAGTCTTGAGCGTTCCAATTTTGAACAACAGCTGCGTATACAATCTTTGTCAATTACTTTGGGTGGGCAATATTCTGCGCGTTTCACGCATGCTAGACTGACCAAGGCGCTCTCTTCTTTATTCGGTTGTGGACAAGACTGGGCGAGATGCATGCCATCTGAGGTTAGTGTGAGGCTGCGGTGACTGTAAGTGCCCAACACGCTCCCACGTCCACCAGCTATACTTTTGAACTTTTGCTGTTGGACTTGGGCTCTACGCGTCTCATCGCGTACCTAGCAGTTTGTCCCGAATAATTGTAGCAGTTCTGATCGAAGTTTGCAAGCCATATTCTTATGGCAAGGCTGTGGTGGAAGGCAGGCAAACATTCTTGAACCAGGACCTGCGTCCAGATACGTCCTGAGGTTCCAGCAGCGGGCCGCAACTGCTGCGGCATGGGTGTGGAGCCTGGCCTGCTTTTCGAGCTGACGACTTGAAAGTACGGGTTTGTGATGCCGGCGGGGGAAGCGGTAGTTAGGCAACGGGTACACCCGTGTGCCAACCTCCTCCTCCTCCTTCCCACGTCATTGAACCTGATTCCACCACATTACAAGAGACATCCAGCAGATTCAGCTGAGAGCTTGTTTGGGATGGAAATTCAAATGTGATGGGTTCCCCTGCCGAGTAATCTCTTACGTGAACATTTTCTCAGCAATGTGGCATGCATCCATGCGTACGTGCAATGTGAGCAAGTTCCACGGTGTTCGCATTGGTGTCGCAGATGATCGCAGTTTGGTAGGCCGATGTGATCGGGTCGGGTCGCATGATGGTTCTGCACACCATAGACCAAAAACGGGTGAAGTTGCCGACATTGGGCTTCGGCGCGTTGGTATCTCCGCACAAACGCCGAAAAAGCCGATCCAAGTCACTCAATGCACATCGCGGCATGACTGCTTCCCATACCCTCCGAAGCTAATCCACTGAGTAATGTCGGATTTAGTGTATTAGTGGGACCCACCACCTGAATACTCTGCAGTTTTTTGAAGCTCGAGTTTTTGCGCGGCTTGGCGCCGCACACAGGCCTCCACTCCTTCAATCGAAGTCAAACGGGGAAGCCTGTTGGGGATTCTGGCTCGAAAAGATTAAGCATACAGACCACAAACAACTGCAGTCTCCCAACGATTTCGGTTAAATTTGGCACATCTTGGTATCCATCCAGATCCTTCTGGGAAACTGTGTGCAACAGTTATCTCATGGAAATTCTCTTTTTGAGGGAGCAGCATCATAGAAAATTCTCAGCCTCTCAAGCAGATCAGGACTGGCCTTTTCATGCTTTTGGGGGATGCATCTTAGGAACACAATGTGCTGGTAGCTGCATCTCAGGTGTTTGGCCGCCGGCGAGAAGAGCCAGCCATTTTTCCCAGCCAGGACCTGCGCCTTCCTGGCCTTTAGCTGGGAATGAAGGAATGGAAAAGAAAATGGAAACTACGATCATGGGTTATGATATAGGGACTACTACAGAGATCCGTTCCATCATTCCTAGCTAACCAGAGGTAAGCTTCAGCGATGCAGACTTGTTGAGACGCTGCGGCTTCTGGCTTCTGCAGGATGCCGAGGCTCAGGCCGACCTGCTAGTGACTGAAATGCGGGAGCAGTTGCAGCACACTTGCAAAGAGCCACTCCAGGCAGGGGTGAAACTTTCATGCTGCACATCATATCCTCGCAGTCCGAGTTCTGGCAGGTGCGAAAGTTGATCTTCCGTGATTTGCAAAGGCACCCTGCGCAACTTCAGCAACGAGTGTTCAGCGTTTCTGACAGCCCGCTGGGACCTTCAGGCAACTCCACCCTGACAAGAACACGGAATGCGAGGAGGCAAATCAAAACAAGAAGCTTCTACTTCTTGGGCTGTCGACATTGCTAGGCTGCCAAGCATGCCTTCCAAAAGTTAATGGAAGAGCGTGGAGACCTCAGATGTGCTGTGCCGGGTTCGGCTGAGTTCCGCAGTTCAAGCGCAAGCGCTGTAGAACCTGGGCATGCGTACTCAAAGGCAAAACCTACCTTGGTGCCGAGCCGGCGAACTTGGTGCAGAAGCCACAGGGAATTTAGAACCAATTTGGTGTTTCGGGCTGCCTTGAGGGTGGAGGTATTTGGTCAGTTTTTTTTTCTGCAGACGCGTGGAGAAAATTGTCATGGCCAGGCAGGTGAACCGCCGAAGTGATCAGAGCTGTGGGCCTCGACAAAACAGTTCTTCTTGCGCACAATGCGGAACACAGTTAAGTACCAGATTGTAAGACACAGGGTAAAAAGACTGCCCACGCTTTCGCCCTCCATGATCTGAAGGGCCATGTTCAAGATCATGTCTTTGCAGGCTGCTATGGGTACTTTATCAAGCCCTATCAAGGTCTATTCTATCCTTGTCCTTACAGTAGCCTGCTGCATGGCTCCTTTCCCGACATGGTGTGCCCAAAATGGCCAAGTGATGTGCCGGCCACGGGTTGACATGTTGATGTTGCTACATTCCTACCGCTGACGATCGTGGGCCGTTTTCCGTTATTTGCCTTGGTCCCTGCATCTGGTTTGCAGTCAGTGAAGCTACTGCCGTAGTGCACTAGCTTGAACTCTTCCATTCCTTCAGAGAGCAGGAGAGTGGAGGATTTATCATCAAAGTGTCAAAGCCTTAGCAGAGCAATCCCCCACTGTCTTTGCCGACTTATTTCCAGTGCTTTGCATGCTTAGTGTTCACACGGCATTACAGATGCCTGTGTCTTCTGCGAGATGGCCTGACACGATGCCTGCAGGGAAAACGCTGTTTGAGTCTTTTGCGCACTGATGCTTAGGGTGTTTCTGGATCCGCGCGACAACCTAGAGATGGGTGTGCTAATGCAGGAAGCACTGGTCAGCGCATGTATCCCCTGCTGCCCTGTTTCTTTTTCTCTGCAAGCTTAGCTTGTGGGCGGTTCTCTTTCGGAAGCACAGCAGAACATGCTTGCCTCACCAGTTCCGCAGAGGCTGGGCAGACAAGCACGCATCATGCCTGTAAGCTACAGAACAGTCCTAACTGCCAGGGCGGCAAATGCCCATGCTGGACCACGCGTCCGGAAGCCCGGTGTGTCCTGCCGGGGTTCTGGCCGGAGCAAACTGAATGTGCTCAAGAAGATTGTGCCCAGGACATCCTTGTAATCAGCTTGTTTGCTGCCGCACGTTCTCCGCACGATTGATGTAGCTGTCGTTTGTCGCGGCTTCTACTAGGACTAGGACAGCTTAATGTTAGCCCCGACTTTTGAACATGTTGTCAAGGTCAGCCAGGTGAGTTCTCCAGACTCAGAGTGCAGCCCTTGTCCATTCTTCATCTGATTGCAAGCTCCAAACATAGCTGAAGCTGCACGAAGGTCGAAGCTTGTGACGTCAAGGAGCTCGGGCTCCGAGGCGCTGCGCAGATACAGAGTACGAGGATGTATGTGAGGCATGTGGAAGGAGCCCACAACTGTGAGTGCAGGCCTTTACATCTGACAGCTCGGGGGCCGCATTCACAGTACCAGAAGAAAGATAATTTGCAGAGATGCCTGTTCAAAGTCAATGTCCTCCGAGGTAGGATCTTCGCAGATCCTTGGTTTTGTGGGCTCCTCCTTAGTCGTGAGCTTGAAAGAAATGCTGACTCGTGAGGGGCAAGCGCCAGCCCTTGGGCACCAGGTGGTCGCAGCGCTGCGCCTTCGAAGGTCCAGGCCAAGGTGGAAGCACATCATGGCGTCACTGCGCAAAGGCAGCCTGGACGTAGAAAGAATGTGGCTGCTAGGAGGATTGCCCGACGGATGGCCAGGCGGACAACCCGGCGGGCCAGTGAGGGAGGCAGTCGTACCCTGTCAAATTGCCTTCTGCGGGAAGTAAAGAGCCAATGCAGTGGACAGTTAGGAAAGCTGCGTACCAGGGGCCCAGCAAGTTGCTGTCACGGAGAGGGGCCAAACAGACAGCACGGGGGAGGCCTTAACACATTTCATGTTCACCATCTGTGCCCTTACCACAGTACAAGGAGGCGGAGCCCTTTTTCGAAGAGGTCTCGGGTGACGACCCTTTGGCATCGTCCCCAGTGGATGTCAGCTGGGATCAAGCTACCGCCGATGTCAGCATTGGAGGTCCTTGACTTGGAGGAGCGGCTCCGCAAGATGAATGGTGCTAGCAATTTGCTGGGACCTCGTCAAATTTGCGAAGCTCTGTTCTCAGTCGCACCGCCGCAGCAAGGACATTGGACATGGTCCTGAACCCGGGCACGATCGTTAATACAGAACGAGAGGTGATCCTACTTCGAGCTGAGCTGAAGGCACCCTGTCCCACAGGCAGGGATTGCCTGTGCTTGATCCTCGCCTCGCTAGCAAGGCGACGCCAGAGGAGCAAACTGAGAAGATCAAAAAGCTAGAGGCAGCTGCTTTCAGACTGGCAGCGTATGGCAATACCCCGTGAGTTCTGATCAGCAGAAGGAAGACCCCCAGTGCCACTGAGCCGGCCAATTTTGAAGCTGTGCAAGCTTGATCTGAATGCTGGGAGTTCCTGGGATGTACTTGGTGACTAAGCCCTTCTGGAAGGACAAGATCGAGGAGAAACAGATGAAGGACAGCGGATGAACCTCTCAGGGCATGCGTTCGAGTGTGCATTGTTGTGTGCACACATGGGACCCTCTATAATTGTCTGATGGATGCAGATTGTGAATGAGATGAAGCTAGTCATGACTGACAATCTCAAACTGGAGCCACTTGGCTGACACTTGTTGCTGTTTTGCGATGCAAAAAGCTTTGTACACTTGCCGCCCGTGGCCGTTCAATTGATTGTTGTGATGAGGTTCTTAGTACAAGCCATTCTGCTCGGAGCTTGGAGGGAGCAGACATGGCATAACTCATGACAGTGCTTGCTGCTTGAGTCCATGTGGTGAAGCAGCACGAGGTCAATATTTGCTTTTGGCTTCATGTGCTATGATGCCTTCCCATGGGCTGAAAGCTAATTGGCTTTTGTGTCTTGAAGCGTGCGAGATCATAACTGTGTTGCATGTGTCGCAATCTATTCTTTTGTCACTAAGATACCTGATCTGACCTGGGCCGGCATCAACAAAGTTGGTTGCTCGCCAGCGTTAGAGAATATCACTGCTTGATCTCGTTGGCATCTTCACCTCTCCGGCTAGTCAGGTTCCAAGCTGGCGTTGCGGGCTAAGTGTGCTGGGCTGCGGGAGGTCCGCTGCAAGAGCTTTTGGCCACTCTGCCGTGCTCAAGGCTCAAGCTTTTTGGCGTTTGGGGCCTGTGGCTGTTTACTGTGCAGCAGCCTCAAGAAGGGCCTGAGTGTCATGTGGCATTAGTTTGTTGTGATGGCACCGCGGCAAGCCCCATAATAGGTAAGTACAAGTAGACGCAGTGAGGCCGGCTCTTCGTGCACGAAAACCTGGTGGGCCATATGGCATGGGCTACGAGGTGTTCACATTGTGAAAATGGCAAGCATGCTTTTCATTTGCATGGGATGCACATTTTCCCACGCATATCCTTGTTTTTTTTCGAGGAGAAGCGAGCGCTGGACATCTCCTTTCTGGTGTAACCCTTGCAACAGCAACAACATGCTCTCATGCATGTCCATTGCTCCATACACCTTCTACTTGCAGCAGCTTTGCCAAGGTGTTGCCCTTTGTGATCTCCTGAGACTGTGGTCGCCAGGACATGCAGCCCATCGTAAATCGGGGTGTGATTTAGGCTGTGCGCTAAGGTTTGCATATTTGCGCCAATTGTGTTCAAGGACAGCAGGAAGGCATTTTTCGCAGCATTTTGCTTTCAAATTCTCGTGTTAGCGGAGGATGCATCGACAACCTACTGGCTCTCGCTGCTCACTCTGGGTGCATTGTATGGGCTCCTGGACTGCAAACTTCAGGAAAGTTTACTTGCACGCACCTCGTCAACATGGAGAACTCAAAACTGTTTCATGCAATGCAGCCTGCAGGTGGAGCTTCAACACGCCGTTAACTGATGGCAAGATCCAGCGTGGAGCGGGCCAGGACTTGCTGCCTTACCAATCCCATGCGCAGTCTTGCTATTGCCGTGGCCTTTTCCAAGGACCTTAACTTGCCAGAGCCTGTGATGTGGGCAATTAAGGCCCGCTGATGCTCACATACAGCATCAATTTCTCTTGCCTTCCGGCGCAGAAGTCAGGTCTTGAAATCAGTTTCAGTTTTCTGGCAGGAGGGAGCCATAGAGAAAGGTCCTATTTCCAGTGTTTGTGAGGGGGTGTACGGGCCGTTGTGAGCGGAGGCTGTGCCTGCCCCACTGGCAGAGATGCAGGATAGCCGAAGGGATGTGCTAGCACTGCATTGGCAGTTATGATCCTGTCCTTGTAACAATAGTGTCCAGAGCTGTAGTCGCCATAGGGACCGTGTGAAGATCGCCAGTTTCACCATATTAAGTGGGAGTCAGGAAATGGGAAGCCCATGCAGGCTGATGAACGTAGAGAGCTGACGGTTGCCAATCTAAAGGGGGTACCCGTAATCAGGCGCGTTGTTTGGGACCTGCACGGAGCATTTTCCGGCATAGTGTGGCATCGGTTTCAGGTCAATTGGCCAAACTGCCAGCGCACGGAGAGGGCATGCTTCCGGGGGAAACCCCTATTCCCAAAAGAAAAGCAAAAGGGCTTACGCAGAGTAGCAAAGATTTCTCATTATTTTTTTGACACATTTGCTTGGTGTTGCAAGATTGCCAAAGTTTCCGCACGTCGAGAACTGCTGGATCACAAAGCACCACATACAGGCTACTGAAACAGGGAGAAGAGAGCGGTCCAAAGAAAGATGAGCAGAACAGCAGCTAGCGGATGAGAAAGAATAAGCAGGGCGAGGAGGAGGAGGAGGAGGAGGAGGAGGAGGATCTGAGAGCACGTCTGCCTGCCGCAAGCGTTGTAATTTCTGCTTTGGGGAAGGCCCTGGACTTTGGCACTGGCTCCGAGCGAGGTGCACGCTCGGAGGACAAATCATGGCAGGAGCACAGCGGATCAACATTTCCATGTATATGAATATCATAAATTTGATTCATTCTAACTGGTTTCCCTTCGATGCCAGGACCAGCTAGCAGCCTATGAGAAGGCTGCTGAGGAGCTGGCTGCAAAAAAAGCCGAGAGGCGGTTGTGGTGACCATCTTGTCAAAGAGGATGCACCATGCTTTTTTCAGGGCAGCTGCCGGAAGCAAGCAGTGAGAGCCTGCAGCGCTTGCAGCTGATGGTCCAGATTAGTTGGGTTGGCCAAATGGCCAAGCTAGACATGTGTCACCTGCGCCATCTCGGTGCATTCATACGTTAAGGAAGGTTTTCCGCAATTTTCGCTGCTGGACTGGCAGTCCAAAGCTCAAACGGCGCTGCTGTGCACTTTTAATTTGGGGGGAATGGTGTAGTGACCTTTCGGTGTCGTTTCTTGAGTTTGTGCTGGTCTGCGATCCGCCCTTAGCCGAATGGGACCAGAGCTGGGAATCTAGAAGCCAAGCCTGGTCGTGATTACGTTATCCGAGCTCCTTGTCTGCAAAGCGCGCCCACCAATGCATGAGCAAGTCTGCATGGCCCTGAGGAAATGCTCGGAACTCATGGATCCTGATGTTTGCTTCGCAGACCGAGCGGGGTTTTGGGGAGGCGCGTTACAGTAGTGGCAGGTCTACCGAATGCTGGGGCAGAAGGTAATTTGGTCGAAATGTGTAGTAGCCGCCTGAGTACTTGTTCAGTTGAACAGGTCTATGATGAGCACGATCAATATGACTGGGCTCAAGGCGAACATGGGTCAAAGTTGAATGCGCCTGCTTTGCAGCCCCGACCTCCCAGGTGGCTATAGCTCCAACCACCAATATCCCAACGACAGAAGCAGTGGAGGGCTCAATGAATTTGTCACGAGCACTTGCAACCACCTGTGCTATGATGACATGCGCAGTCTCTTGCACACTCTGAAATTGCTTGTATGAAGGGGGTTGTGACCACAGTAGCACGTCGGTTGACCTCTCGTATGTGCTCACGCACTCCACGTCTGATGCAAGGCTTGAGACACTACCCGGAGGATGATGACTCTTCTCTTCCTTCTATAGGCCCGGCTGGAGGACGAAGATCAGCTTGGACAGTGGAACGGGTTCCAATCGCAGGTTCAAAAGAACATGCGAGTGGGAATTGCCGTCCATGCGCATGGTTGTGGAAAGCGAACGGATGTCGGAATGCCTACCACTGCACACATTGTCATTTGTGCACTCCGGCTGCTGGGCTGCAACAGTCTGACACAGCTGTTGCCGTCAGCTAATCTGCATAAGGGCCGTGCGCTGTTAAGGATGCCGTCAAGAACCGTCGAAAAGTCCACAAATCTTCCGAGCCCAGCGCTGCCAAAGCCGCACCACAGCGAGGGAAGAGGACTTTGCATCATCTTGTTCTTGTACAGGGCTGTGCAAAAAACAATTGTTTCAGTATTGTGCAGGAGGCAAGAGTGGACTTGGCAGCAGGCAGAGGAGACGCCTGCTCCCTGGATAGAAAACGTTCAGTCGATACCGCCCCCTCCTGCGACGCCGTCTCCGGCAGACGCCCCGCCACGGCCTCGCTGGGAGCGGGTGAGATGCAATGCACAACAGTGACTCAACAGGGGGATGAAACAGCGATGAGTGGCATGGCCCGGGCGTTGGTCGTCTCTTCCGAGGTCTGGCCCAAGTACCGGTGCGGCAACGCGGTACAGCAGCCCATCAACGCAGCCAGAAGAAGCTGAACCGAGGCATCTTCTGGTGCCATTTTAACGCAAGGCGTGGTGCAGATGTCCTCGGTTTTCGAGGCAGCCGACCCGCTGGTCCCGCGGATCCGAGCGGCACCCTGCCCATTGCAGGCATAGATACGAATTTCATTTGTCTCATGTAGTCTTGGCTCTGGGGGTGTTGTCAGCCAGGCCTTGCCTGTTTCTGTGGACTGCCTCCGGGTGCAAAGATGGCCCGGACTGCCCCTGGGCCGAAGTTTGCCCTGGCCAGTCTTTCGCAGATTCAACTTAAGGTTCAGCAGATCACCAGCATGGGCATACCTTGGTTCACCATCTGGCAGAAAGCCGCATCATGTGCTGAGGTGATTTTTGTCATTTGTGCTTGCCGCAGAAGGACGGGCTTACACAGAGCGTCAGCACAGGTAAGCGACAGGTTGGGTTGGAATTCTGAGGCTCCCACAACTTGAATCCAATTCGCAGAAAAAACATTGCAATGTAAAAATCAATCCAACATAATCCCACCCTCGGGTGTCGGCAGGTTCTACCTCAGACCCAGACAATGCCGGCGGCTCTACCAACACCGATGCCTGCTCCGGCTTCTATGCCGGCACCACTACCCGCCATGCCCGCCATGCTGGAGTGGCACCATGGCTTTTAGAGCTTTTTGCAGACTGCGTTGCCAGTGGCTTGTCCTTGTCAAGACCTGGGTGTTGCCAAGGCAGCAGGTGGCGGCAGGCAGGGCATCCTGTGGTCCGACCTGCGGAGACGGTACAGGTTTTCGCACCATGCGAGGTTTTCGCAACGCAGATCTTGGCCACCGGCCAGAGGCACACTACATCAATTTGGCCGAGCGACTGGCACCTGAAACCCAGGCACTCCTTTCGCCTCTGGCCTCTGCGATTAGCCTTCGGGTCACCTGTCAGGCACCTGGCGCGCAGATGACCCCGGGGATGGTTGCCAGCCACGTCGTGCTGGGCACTGCTCCCTGCACTCCAGCTTATCCAAACCCCCAACCTCTTGCACCGCAGCCACCAGCCCAGCAGCAAGCTTACAGGACATTGTGCTTCCATCTTCAAGCCATTGCCTGTTGCAGTTGCTTCATCTTCATGTGCAACGTGCAGGAGAGTTCTTAATTTACATGTCTGTCCGCAACTTGCAGGACTGCTTCGGCGTGGCCTCTCCCTGCGAAGATAAAAGAATTTAGATCAGCGCAGTCTCCGATGCCCATGGGTGTGCGAAGCCTGGTCTTGAAGGGGTTTCTAAGCACGTGGAACTTCCTGCTTGGGAAAGTAGATCTCGTGTTTCCCAAGGTGGCGGATGGACCTCCATGCATCGATTGTGGCAATGTGACACATTGCGTCTGTCTTCCAGGCCAGGCTCCCCAGCGCACAGTCCAAGAACTATTCAATCAAACGGGTTTTGAGGTGATGTTGGCTTTTCAGAACGTGCACCGAGCCTCACGGTGCTGCCCGTGACCACCCAAAGCCACGTCCCCAGTTTCAGGGCAGCCGAAGGGGGCTCGACCTTCCTTTAGAGGTATGCCGAACACTGAGTAAGAGTGAGGAGCCGAGCCGAGACGTCTCCCCGAGAATAAGGAGGAGAACGGTTCCGGAACTTCTGGCCAGATCCTGACTGTTTGAGTCTGATCTCTCTTCAGAAAGAGCCCCTCCCACCTGGCGAGGGTCCCATAGTAAAGGGCCGCCGTGAAGACATCCGCTGCATGTTGTTGAATGGGTTTGTCCTGCAGCTCAGAGCTCTAAAGTACAAGGTGACGTGGTTGCGCTGGTCCAGCAGCTGATGGGCAGGGAGCTCACCGTGAGCTCGAGCAGCGCAGGCCTGCCCCAAATCTCCCAAAGCCCAGAACCGTTCTTCCAGCATTTTCCAAGATCAACCTCAAGCATCCGCCCCTGTCACTGAACTCCGGCACGTTCTGTCAGACTTATTGGAGATTGATTAGTTTTCGAGGGGCTTGATGATGAGCGGGTTGTAACATTTCATGAGCCTGCTTGAGTGCCTACAGCCTTCTCTTGGAGGCCGGCGCGGTTAACCTTAATTTCATGAAAATTGATTCTAATGTTGACACATCATGTAAGCCGAACGAGTGCGAAAGAGGGGCGTTTTCCGGTCCGGTAACAGAACGCCAATGCGCGCAATGCTTGAAGTACTTTGAAATTGCAAGGCCCTCGACTTGCAATGTCCAAAAGGATACTAACCAAAGACTGAGGCTGGGCTCTCAAGTTGCCCTGAACGGCGAGCAGAATTAAACCTTGAGGCCACCAGTATTGTCAGTAGCACGCAACTCTGAACCTCGAGGGCGTGAGGATAGTCGAGGGGGGTGTGGAGGTCCTGGAACGTAGCTTACTGTAGAAGACCCTGGCACCGACCGCCGATCATCAGCGGATCACAGTTATAATCAGCAGTCAAGTCCCTATTGAAGAAATGATGACAGTCAACTTCAGCGACCCCAAGCACAAGCATAGGATACGAAAGCAAGCCTGTGAACTTTCTCAAGGTGTGTCGTTCGTTGCAGCGCCAGCAGCGACATGTCCCATGCCTGACCCTGGCCCTAGTGACATGGCGCACGTCAATGGCAAATGTGCTCTCCCCAGTGCTTTAGGTTATAGTCACCCTTAAGTAGATAGAATATGGGGTATATGGGGATCTTACTATAATATACCCAAGGCCATATTCTATCTACTTAAGAGGGACTATAGGGAGGCGGCACAACTCCTCCAAGCCAGCTGCCAGCACGCGTGAGCTGAGGTAACAGACCCTGCGTTGAGCTGATGCAATCTGCTACATGCAGTGCTGGTGCAAATTGCCCGTACTGCCATGTCTGTCTAGAGCCATCACGAAGAGGTAAGAAACGGATTGGAAATATGGCTCTCAAAAAGAAGGGCCCTGATGGCTGAGCAAATGCCTGGCCGCCGAGGCTGAAGCAACCTAGCAGCTAACAGCAGGTCCTTCTGCCAAAGCCCCGCAACAAAAGTAATCATGTCAAAAAGGATCTTGCAGACAGACCTCCAGGGTTACATCTTTCGGCGCCATTATGCGGTCGGCCAGGCTTCGTCCAATGATCAAGACTCAAGACGGGTCAGTCGATCGATTTCCGTGACCCGTATTAAGTTGAAGCTGATACGCAGCTTGCCCAAGCTTAGGTTGGTTTGCTGCGGAAGTCCATTCACTGCACATGGGTTTAGATTTTCTCTGGTTCTTGAGACAGCTCTAAAGTATGTATCGAAATTGATGCCACGAGATAGCAATTGAGCAGTGGGCGGATCTGCGCCACCCACCCGGAAGTGGCAGCCCAACATGGTGAATAGAAACACCGTTTGCCAGCAGCACGCGTGGCACGTCATAACGCATTCAACTGATTCTTTGGGCATACCAAAACACGTGTGATTACGCTGAAGGCAACTTTCAGCCGGGCCAAGGCACGGAAAAAAACCAAACAAGTTTTTGTAGCTGCTCTTAAGCTTCAAAGGGGGCTTCCCAGCCGCAGGGCCGCAGCCAGGCTTGAGTTCGCAGCATGTGCAATGAGGCAGTCAGGGCAACGCAGTCGGCCCTTTCAATCAGAGAGCCCCAAACAATTCAAAGCTTGGCCGTTCTGCTTTGCGTGAATGCACCGCTCAGCTTGCTGATCGATGATTAGCACCACGCAGCGGCCTCATGTTAGTGCAAGATGCTTGCCGGCGGCATGCCATGTTACAGTATTCGGCCTTCTTGTGAAGCTCGTCAAGCTGCTACGTCTATGTGAGGTATCTATGGGAAGGGTGCTAGCTGTTCTCATGGGGAAAACAAAGCTGCTGTGGCGTCGTGCGATTCTGCGTCAGTGACGCAAACTGCAGCTTTGCCTGAAGCTGCCAGCTGGAGGGGAGTCATTTCGCGGTAGCTAAGCATGGTCTCAGTGCCCCTCATGCAATCGAGGATGTGGCTGCCCGCCCCTGAAAAACCTTTTGCGCTTGATGGTATCCGAGATGCGAGGATCCGCGAGCAGCAATGGGAAAAAGACGGTATCTCAAATTGCATGAGGCGAAGCTTGGATTCGCAGCTTTGATTCGCATTTGTTCAGCTTCGGAGGAAATTCTACAAGCTGCTGTGTGTAGTTGTCCAATCTGGCATAGCAGCATGAGATCATGCGCGCTGGTAGCCGTGCACTTTCAGCTGAATCGTAAATAAGACTTGCCACACACCGAGTCACGTGGCTACTTGTGTAGACCTGTTGCGGAATTTCCTTGTTGTGGCACGAACTGGTCCGACAACCTTCCGCAGCAAGTCACGAAGCTATCGAAACTTGGCGGCTGCTTGGCTCAGAAGGTGGGATCCGCTCCTGCCATGCAGATGGTTTCCCTGGCGTGACATGTGTTTGAAGGTCGGACCCTCGGTTGTCTTGTGCGGTTCAGTTCCTTGGTCCTTGCTTGGGAGCCTCTACTACTGTTTCCAAGACACATTACTGACAGGACAAGAAGGACGGACAGCCCCGGCCTGAGCATTGTTTCTCTGAGAAGCTTTCCCAGCTGCTCCCATCCTGGGCCACAGACTTAATTGCCAAGGCGGGAGGTATCAGTACCCGCCGACGAAGAACACGCCAGGACGCTGAAGTTTGCTGACGTTTCTTTGGCAACGTGCCGACCCTGAAGGAGAGAAGCGTCGTCATCCTTTTGTGCGCAGGTGTGCAAGACGGGATCATCACCGATGCCACCGATGCTTGATAATTGTGATGCAGAAGCTCAGAGCGTTTCTGAAGATGAAGAGTCCAGCTCCACACAGCTCCCATCTGTAGGCTCTGCCCAACACGGATCGGGCAGTTGCCAACCTTGTGCTTGGTTTTGGAAACCACAGGGCTGCTTGAATGGTCCTGCGTGCTTGCGGTGCCACTTGTGCCCTGCCGGGGAGATCAAAAGGCGTAAAGGTGAGCTGAAACAGAAGAAAGCACAAGCTGCTGAAGGCTCGGCCGAGCAGTCCACAGCTTCGCCGCGTGGAGCGACCGTGCCACCGCCGTCGCCGCCGTCAGCGGCTCCTTGCTTGAAGCTGACAGAAGAAGGCCTTCCACCAGCACCTTCTTGGACAGCATCGGATCCGGCTCTGCCTTCGGTTGGCTCTAGGCTTCACGGAAGCGGCCAGTGCAAGCCATGTGCATGGTTCTGGAAAGCAGAGGGTTGCAGAAACGAATCTGCTTGTGGCCATTGTCATCTTTGCCCAATGGGAGAAGCCAAAGCCCGAAAGCAAGCCAAGCTCGCAATCATCCGAGCCAAGGCGAGTCAGACGGGTCAGACAGAAATTGGAAGCCTTACTCCTGAGGAGACCAAAAGAGAGCAAGTATTCCAAGCAGCGCTAGGCACATCGGAAGTACGACCAATTGCAGTACTGGCACCACCCACCTTGCTCTTCAACATGTGCGAGGTGACCCCTCACCTCGGTCATCCCCAGGCGCAGCCATTGCAGCCTGTGCCGCTCTTCCCACAGCAGCCTGTGCAACCCGCACAGGTGCACTCCATCAACTCTATCCCACAGATCCACCCCATCCAGCAAGTCCAGCAAATCCAACAAGTTCGACCCGTTCAAGCAGTCCCGTCTGCACAGCACAGCCAGTCCTGCCACACAGCCTGGAAATGGTGCCCCACAGGTCAAGTTTGCCAAGGCTGTGCCTACTGCTCCCAGGCGCCTCCACTGCAGCCAGGGCAGCCTGCGCAACCTCAGAGACCCGTGCTTTTAGGCAATCCGCTGAGTGCCTTCCAATCAGCACAAAGCGTTGGAAAGTTGTGCAGCAGATGTGGCTCTGAGGGTTGCAAATGCTTCCCATACGAGGCAGGTGAGCGGCGACTGGTCCCCCAAGAAGTGTCCTTTCCAGGCATCCTCCCCAGTGTGCCCCTGTATCACCAGCCAGTTCACCCTCCGACGCAAGTGGTGCCCCCACCTTTGCCGTCGGTTGGTTCCGCCTTGCATGCAGATGGGAAATGTTCGCCGTGCGCTTGGTTCTGGAAGCCACAGGGTTGTCGGCACGGAGCCAATTGCGGACGGTGCCACCTTTGTCCTGCGGGCGAGATCAAGCAGCGCAAAAAGAGTAAGGCCACGGCTAAGGAGGTTGTGAAGGACCCCCTGCCCGGAACGACTCTTGGCATGATTTTTGGGCCTCTTTCACAACGCTTTTGGAATTGGTCTGCGCAGTCTCAGGAACTCGCACAATCTTCCGTTGATTTTGGACTAGGAGCGGCAACTGCTCCGATGGCAAGGGCCAAGGCTGGCCAAGTGAGCAACAGTTAGTCTGCCAGTGACCTTCCCTGCTTTGAGAAGCATACCGTCCTTACTTGTCCTTGCAAGCGAAGCTTGCACCTGCTGAAACTGTAGCACGCGTGGAAGATGGCGACGGTACCTTTACCAGTAGTGGTGTCCATCTGCCATGCGTGATTTACATGTGATGATCAACGCACCAGATCGCCCTGCTTCATGCTGTCTTCCAAAGCTGTGTGTGGCAATCCACTAGGGAGCCCGAAGAGGTATCTGAAGCGTTCAGCTCATAGTGTTCCTTTGACTTTGAAACAGCGTTTGGAGCCCTGTCTTGTTTTTTCTAAGGCTCGAGGGGTGGAGATTTTCTGCTTCAAACAGGGCTCCATGCGCTAGCTTTCTTACTGCAGGAGTTCCGTCTGTTTTTTCCTGTTTTGGATTTGATGTCTTAAAGACATGCCGCAGGCATCCCCCGGGAACGGTGCTTCAACTTCAAGTAATGGTGCATGTGGTCTAGCCAGTCTAGCCTACTCATTTTACGTGCATGCGGGGGACGCCCCTGCACTTTTCTCAACCAGATGTGTGAGGCGTGCCAACCATGTGAAAGGTTTTTGTGATGGCTGCGCCATGCGTGCTTAAGGCATGGGCTTGGCAGGTCGGCGCAGAGAGTACAGATTTGATCTTTGCTGCTGGTTGTCGAGAACAGCGGATCAATGAAGCCAGAGCACACAGTCTTTGGCTTGACAGGTCCGCATACCATGTGAAGCTGATGCTGTGCTGCCGACAGTATAGGTGTCGACGGTGCAGGAATCGTAGAAGCATGCAGGCATTGGTGTGCTTGTACAAACTTTGTGTGAATTTGATTTGTCCATAAGATCGCGCGGTTCTGAAAAGAGCTCAAGCCGCAGTTGACGTGTCTCTTGCTGGCATGGCGCTTGACATTAGAGGGGGCAATTCTTTTGCTGCATCCACCGACGTGCATGAAATTGAAGATTGGCAAACATCTGGCAGCCAACTTCCTTTCAAGTAGGTTAAGCGTAGCATGGCACAGGAGAGGAAGATGGCTTCGTTGCATCTAGGGCCTGAATGCACGCAGGAGACGAATGAGGCTTTATTGCAATTTATCCTTTGTGAGATTTCTTGTTTTTTGCAAAAGTCTGCCTAACCAGAGGAATTGCTTGCGTCGGATCAGGATTCCGTCTGCCTCTACATGCCGCCGACGCCGGCCACTTGTGTCCCGCCGAGTGACGAGGACACGCAAGTCGCAAGGTGCAGTTTTCTGAAGGCAGTGACTTCTGTCCTCCTGAAGGTTTGATCAAGATTCTTGCTTTGCGACTGCATGCGCTTGATTCTGTGCGCGGTTGCAAGCTAACTGTGGCGTATCCTGTGCTCCAGGAAAACGGGGAGGTTGACCATGCCGTTTCTGGTTTTACACATTGCTGACATGTGCTTGGTGCTTTCGACAAGCCACAGCAGAAGACAGCGTAGAAATTTGTGGCCATTCAACTGCGCACGGGATCTTAGGCTGCCAGCTCCAGTGTGCCGTCCAAGGGCTCGCTGTTGCACCGTACTGGCAACTGCAAACCTTGCGTGCCCCGGCAACACATGGAATTTCTATCCATTTTTCGTGCTTCTGCGGCTTTGGATGCTTCTGGCTGAGGCTTGGATCTGGAAGTCGCAAGGCTGCTTGAACGGAGCCTTGTGCCTGCGGTGCCACCTGTGCCCCGCCGGAGAGATCAAGAGACGCAAGAAGGACGGGAGACAAAGATACATGGGGTTGCTTCAAAGCTGCAATGCACGGCAGGAGCAGCTGAAAAGGCTGACCGTGGGTACCGTGGGGCGATGTGAAGATGAGGAGACAGGAAGCACACATCTCCAGATCACACCGCTGCTAGCAGCAACATCTTTACCTCCCGTGCCGCCGCCAACGTCGTCTCCAATGGTGGACTTCCTGGACGATGCATTGCCGCCTGCTCCAACTTGGGACACCAAGGATGCGGAACCCCTGCAACCTTTGGTGCCACCTTTGGCACAGCCTCTGGCACAGCCTTTGGCATCAGTGGGTTCGGCCCTCCATGGGACGGGGAACTGCAAGCCCTGCGCTTGGTTTTGGAAGCCGCAGGCAGGACGACTCCAATTATCTTTTCTCGGTCTCATGTAAACGGGGCGAGCATTCTTGGAAGGCATTCCCCCAGAGAGTAGCAGAAATTGTGTATACTGCATGTGGGGTTAGAGTATTGGCATGTCTTCCAGGGTGCATGACAGTTGTGAACTTCTTGCTTTGGTGTCCTGGGCAGGGCTGCCGAAATGGAAGCGATTGCGGTCACTGCCACTTATGTCCTGCTGGCGAGTCCAAAATGCGAAGACAAGTGAAGCTGGCTGCACTTCGCACACAGGATTGTGATTCCAATAGGGAGGTGGTGGAGCTCCCGGAACTCGCAGAGCCAATTTGGAGACCTCCGCCGGGCCTTGAGCTTGAAATGCCTTTGCCCCCATGCCCGCCGCCAATGATGCCTCCAAGCTTGCCATCATTGGGATCGGTGCTGCACGGCTCTGGAGAGTGTCAGCCTTGCCTGGACTTCTGGTCAACGGAGGGTTGTCCCAGGGGTCATGACTGCAGCCAGTGCCACCTCTGCTCCGCTGAGCTCAAGGTGCAGCACCAGGCACGGATGGCAGGCATTGTCTTGCAGCCAATTTCGCGGGCCTTGGAGTTCGAGGAGCCAATCGACGAGCCAAGCGAACTGAGCGAGCCAAATGCAAGCGCACAGCCAAAGTTTCTGGACCCCATCCCTGGCCCCAGCTTTGAGCAACGCACGCGCTTTCCATCTGATCAGAGCCTGAAGCAGAGACTCGACAGAGTTCTGGACGAGCCGGAGGATGTCCCATGCGAGCGTGGTACGAAGCCACCTTCCACTTCCACCCTCCGACTCCCTGCTTTGCACGGCTGCGTGATCTGCGGCTCGCGAGGTTCGTGCTCCTGCCCTCGAATTCACTCAGGAGTGGCTCTCGAACGGCTGCCATCACAAGATCTGGAAACGATCCAGGCGCGCTCCTTTCTTGCACTTTCTTGCAGGTTGATGCCCTCTGTGCATTTCAGTGCTCGTAGCTTCTAGATCATCTCTTTGGCTCACGCCATTGTGTCTTGAATGTCGGGATGCGATGGGAAGCATCATGCCACGTTGTCAGGCAGATGGGCTGGCTGATCTACCTTCGCTGGGGTCAGTCCTGCATGCAAAAGGCCAGGGCTGAACCATCTTCTCGCTTTCAAGATCGTTTTCCCTACCCTCACAGTGCGGTTGTTAGTTTTTAAGAAAATTAGGTTCTCCTCGCCCTCCGCGCAGTGCCCAACCGCAGAGAATCTAACCGCCAAGTATTTTTGCCGTGCCCGGCCGCAGAGTCTCCCGGCAGGGTCCAACCGCAGAATACTCCCGCAGTGCCCAACCTCAGAGCATCTCTGCCGTGCCCAACCCAAAGTACCCGGCCCCAGAGGTTCCCTGGAGTGGCCGATTATGGAGTATAATTATGAAATATCCGAGCCTCACACAGGCCACCGCACCACCCCAACGGTAGTTCTTGGAGAGTAGAATCACTGCTGATACACGCTCCGTATTGTTGCTTCATGTTGCTTCAAGTAGTTGATGATGCCCCGCAAACACAAGCGCAAGGGTGCAGATGTTGGAAGTAGAGGATTTTGATTCTGCGCATGCCGCGCGCGCTGGCGAGGTTGCTGCAGCCCATGTGCTTGGGTTTGGAAGCCGCAGGGCTGTCATGGTCTCAGCTTACTGATGGCGGTTGAGTCTAGTCATCCTTGTAACTGTGTCAGGCCATAACGGAAGCAACTGTGGTCGTTGCCACTTGTGCCCACCAGGCAGCATCTAGTCTTTTTATCAACCAAAGCCTAGCATGGTTTCCCTCATGGCAGGTGAGGTAAAGCTTCGCAAGAAGGCCAAGGCCAGAGAAAGTTCGCCTGATCCCAACTGCTGCAATGTTTCATGTGGTGAAAGTGCGCAGAAGCTGGTGCAGGCCAGGGAGGCTCGAAGTGCAGCCAAGGCTGGCCAGAAATCAAGGGTTTCTCGTATCAGAGAACAAGGATTCAGCTATCAACGCGGGACAACTTTCGGGACCATTGGGCTGCTTCAGGGGCGATGCGAGCTGAACACAAGCAGCGTCACTGGTGAACCTACATTTCCCAGATGACGGGAACTCTTTGGAGAGATTGCGGGGTGTTTGGGGGAATGGGTGCGCCTCCGTATGTGTCGGGGTAGGGGTTCGTGCGAGGAGGTAGCGGTGGGGCAGGGGTAGCGGGGGGTGGGGTATGGGGGTGGGCTTGATATGGTGGCGGCGTCAGAATTTGCGGCTAAACGATGCTAACCCTTGCACTGCGGTTTGGGTTGACTTCGTTTTTCTCTCAGCGGTGTGAACTGTCAGCATGCATTGTTGTCAGTGTTTTGCGCGTTTACTGTTTGCCTCAATGTGGCGGTTTTGTTGAAGCTTTGCCGATTTGGGGTAAGTCGGGTTCTGGTTGTCTACACCCTCCCCAAGCGGCGTGTTTGGCTTAATGTATCGTGCTGTTGGCTGCCACGGCATTTAAAATTGTCCGCGGAATAGTTACTCGTGCTTTGCACGAGGTGCGACAAGAATCCTGACCATCATAACGTCAAAGCTACACCTCGTGGATTGCGCAGTTGGGTGCGACGTGAAGTGGAGGGTACTTGAGACAGTGACCGATTGAATGGCAAGCTGGCTATCCTTGCCTTTGCCGGTACGCCTTTGTTTTCAGGGGAAGTGTGGCCCTCTGAAAGCAGGTGGTTTTTTACGCAAGACAGGCCACGGAGTGCTCAAACATTAAATGCTGCCCCAGCGCACAGGAAGTCTCCATGCCAGCGATTCTGTGAGCAAAGTGCCGTCGGAAGGCGGCTTCTCTAATTTTGAATTATGAGAGCCCCCCCGCGCTTCCGAGAGCTGTCTGAGCAGGTGCTTGACAGATGTCACGAGCAATCTCTTTCAATCTTGCTAGCTAGCTCTTGGGCATTGCATGGGCAGCCGTGGAAGCCGGAGGAGACTCATTGAGAGGTTTGTTTTGGCAAGAGTGCTCTCGGATCCGAAGAGAGCTTGCCATGCCTCGCCTTGAAGACACACAAATCAATCATGCCCATTAATTCAGAATCTGTTTCGCATTCTTTGGCGTCAGTGCCCGAGCTGCAAAGTAAGCAAGTCTGAGCACGTTCACTGCTTGAGTGATTTCGTGTTTCACTGCAGTAGCTTCTCTGACCCAGCTACAGGGGCACTGACTCCTGCCGACATGGCACGAGACCATGTGGCCACAGCTTCTTGGGCCAATGGTGTAAGACCTGTCACAGCCAGAAGCCCGAGACGCCACGAATTTGAGCTATGGCCGCAGCGAGTGACAGCGCCGCTGCAATGCGAAGCCAGCCATAGTTGACCTGACGCATTTGAGTGCATTTGCCTTTGAGTAGTGGTGGTGCCTGCGTTGCTTAGTGCCCGGTGAGCAGACGCTCTGCCGTGGCAATCTGTTTATAGCGGCACCACCTCCCTAGGGAGAGCCTGCTCAACAGGCCCCTTGCAGGGCAGCTGTGCTGCCCGCTAGGGCAAGCGAGAAGCGGAGCACATGAACTTTGTCACAGTACAGCTCTGATTCTGCAAGTCAAGGCAGACACAAACTGGCAGGCAGAGCGAGCGCTTCCGGGCTTCAGATCCTGTCGCTTGTATTTCTGCAACTTTGCAGTGCTGCTGTGATGCAAGCCGTTTTGCTGAGCCACGTGGTGGGTGCTTGGAATGCCCGGACAGAAAGAATGCAAGGCAGGGTGTCAGCATGCTGTTCAAGCTTGGGTGGTTTTGTGTCGCAGGCCTTCATCGGACAACATGAGCCGGTTGACCATGTCAAAGAGGAAACGCTGATGCCCGCTGTTCAGAGTAAGTATGACATGCAATATTGTGAGGATATTGAGGGGTGACCGCAAAACCCTTTGGAACAGGTCTTCGCCCTAGCAGCACCGACAGCCACAGGTTTAGGAGTGTGGGCTTCTGTCATTCAGCCAAGGTATGCCGACAGCGACAGTCCAGACATTTTATTGAGAACATTATCGTTCTGCGCTTACGTGCCCTAGCAACCGCTGCAGTTCGACAGAGTGCTCGCTTGTTTGCTTGGACCATTGGCTCTCAAGCCAAGACTTCTCTGATCAAATTGGCAGGCTTAGGACTTAGGACGGTCAGGGCCACAAAGGGGTTTCCCGTCAGGTGGCCCCAAGCAAATCATAATTAATGGCCTTATCCAATTAGTTTGTTTCGGAAGCAGACGGCCTTGAAACAAGCAACGAAACACACCAGAATCGCCAGGGACCGAGCCTCAGACGAAACCCAGTGCACCCTGGCTCCGTATGCCCCCTTGCAAATCCCCCCCCCCCCCCTCTCGCCGCACGAGCGGGACCAACAAAGACCACGTCCAAATCAAGGTGACACCACATGATCCAAGCAACTTTCAAGTAGCATGCGAAACAGGTGGCATGTATTGGGAGAGTGTGGGTCCAGGTGATGACAATGTATGCATTCCTGAGTTCTTGACGGGGCCTCTTGTGTGGTCTCAGGTGGCCAAAGTGAATGCTTCGACAAAGTTCCCCACTTGTGGCCGCACCTGCCGCCTTTAGAGAGTTCACGATGCAGCTTCATGTGAACAGCTCTTCCGCGTTTGAAAGTTCAATGTCCATTCATTTTTTGGTCCAAGTCTGCTCCGGCAGCTTTCTGGCCAGTGCCTCCATGGTTTATGAAATTCGAGAGTCATGTCCCGTCAGTAGCCTGTCCCCCTGCGAGCCAGCATGCTTCATAGATGCCCTGCCCAATTTTCGCAGCAGATGCATCTACAACGCATGTGGTAGCTCGTCGGCTGCCAAGAAGATGGAGGAGGTGAGGGTTGAGGTCTTGTAGCAGGGACATGCTGCATCCTCATGTCGTCTTGCCCGCAGGGTAGCATTTACTGGCACAACCTCTCCGTCGCTGTCGGGCCCAATGTGCTGGTGCAGCCACACTCTGGGTTCTTGGGCATGTTGGACCGTCAGGATGTTGCTGGAACTAGGCCAACATTGAGTATACAGAGAATCGCTGGCTGTTTAAGTTCTAAGGCGGCTGTGCTTGCTTTGATCCGTCTGCTTTCCTCCAATCCGCTTCATTATTTGTAATCCAAGGCTTGCCCGTGCCGGGCGGTGCCTGGCTGTGATGGGGCCTTCAGGGGCCGGAAAGTCGCTGCTGCTTCACAGCCACCCCGCTTAGAATGTGCTTAGCAAGGAAGTAGGGGCTTACACGAATTAGCTTCTTATTGGCCGCGAGAATGTCAGGTCTGGCTGGCCTCGCGCCGGCCAATGCGCTCGTGTGATGGGCTGACTGCATGCTGCAAAGATGAGGATGCCGAAGCGGGATCAATTTCTCAGGTCAGGCTTGGTATGCGATGGGTCAGGCAATCGCAAGCCGGATGCCCAGCACGAAGGTTTTGCTCCGGCATGGAACATGTTTGCCCCTAGCTACACCCGCCGACCGATGGTACATTTGGCTCCAGCTTAGGGAGAGCGCAGAGGGGTTGTGAACGGCGCCGCTGCAGTGCCATAGTTGCACTGTTCTGCTCTATGTGTGATCTGCGCGATTGCCAACTTTCGACACGTGCCAATCTATATAGATGCAGATCTGAGGCCCCAGAAAGCGCAATGGCTCCCAAGGCCGCCGCGCCTAAGGCTCGCGGCTTGCGGCTTGCTGCGACGACTCTTTAACCGTACACTTGGGGTGCGCGTTGCTTCTCTCGCCAGGCACAGGCGGCGCGCAGCACTCCGCCTCCTGAGGCTCCTGAGGAGCCGGTGGACGATTATGACATGCCGGTGATCGTGCTTCGGATTCTGAAAGTTGATCAAGTTTTTGATGGCTGCAGGCCTTGGCGCACATGTGAGAGAGTGACCGCTGAGCGCCCTAGGTCAAAGTGCGGCCCGATGACCAACTGGATTTGAGCCCAGAGGAACTGGAGAAGGAAGTTCCGCCTCGAGTCCTGTATCCGCTGAATCCTAGGCGCCTGCAGCTTTGCACTGGGAGCCTTGCAGATGTGCGCTTTGGTTTGAGCTTCCTGCTTGAGAAGAGCTTTGGCTTCAGGGCTCCGCGCAACACCACCCAGTTCTCCTTCAAGGAGCGGCTCGGTTGCAAGTTGCAGAAGCTCTTCGAGCTCTTAGGCGAACAAGGGTACATTGCGTGATGGACAGGCCAGATTTTTTTCAGGCTGTTGCTTGTGACTTTATCCGAGGAAGTGCTTCAAGACGGATGAACAGGCCTCCCATTGCTGCGACATGCTGCTGTAAGCGCTGAGCGGCTTTTACTGAGCTTGTGACGAGACAGCCTCTCCTACTGTTGCCTTCGCATTGTGGCGTCATCCCTGCGAGGTGGACCAACTTGTCATGCACTTCAGCATGGATGGCGGCATCCTGCTAAAAGACAGTCCTGAAGCTCAAGATCAAGATGAGGCTGGGCTATTGGCGTGTGGAGGCCATTTGCATGAGTGGTGGCTGCACATAGGTTCTCGACAAGAAGCAGCAAGAGCAAACCGAAAGGGAGAGCCAAGAGGCAATTGATGAAGATTTTGACCCGCCAGAGAACGAGAAGGAGCTGAGTTCTCAGCAAGATGATGTTTTGTTGCTGCATGACGAAGTAGATCAACATGAATGAAATTGAAAGGGTTGGCAGTGTGCGACATGCCAGGAAATCCCGCAGAAGAACCCATTGCGTGCCACAGCTTGCTAGAGCTTGTGTGCTCCAGCTAGGTGTGTGCACAAGTGCACAAGGCTCGAGCCTCGTGTTTGTTCCAGTCTGGTTGGATGCACACCTGAGGCAATCAGTTCAACTTCAGCGAGAGAGCTGCGCAGACCAAAACCCATTTGTTACGAGAGCGCTCCTGGACGACTCAGCCGCCGCCCACGACTCGAAACCACGGTGCCTGCAACTGATTAGCTTTACAGACAGCTGCCATGCCTTGTGGTAGCGGAGTTGCGATGTACTGAATCCTTTGACATGCACATCGCTTGACATGCAGTGCTTGTGCATTGGTTTTTGAAGGTACGGTTACGCAGTGGGAGATCTTCGATAAGTACATGGCAGACATTGAGATTGTCAAGGCAGGCCAGAAGTCTAGCTTCAAGAATGAATTCGATACTTCAACACGTGTTGCATTGCTGTACGGGTCTGATTCCGAAGGAAAAGGAGAAAGAAGCGCCTAAGCCGCACCTGGATTCTGCACGAGCACTCTGTCGTGCACGGAGTTTTGTTTTTTCGTTGGCAGGTTTGAAAGGTCCTCGGGCCTGACACGTGCAAGCCGTAAGGAGAAATCAAAGTCGAAGCTCTCATATGATGATCTTTCCGACCAAAAGAAGAAAAAGGGTGACACGGATCCCACATATTCCGAAAACATGAAGCTTTCAATCAAGATCATGGAGCGCATGGTCAACCAGAGCCTGAGCCGCGACGCGAGTGGCAGCAATCTTTTTTTATTGAACGATTCGCAGTGTTGATATGCAAAATTGCGAAGGAACGCAGAAAACGAAGTCTACCACGATTTCAAATTCTGGGAGGACTGGCCCCTTTGGTGTGCAGCACGCTAGACCTCTTCATCAATGCTGGCGAGGATAGAAGCGATGAGTTTCGTGACGGAGAAGGGACACTATTGCCTCTCTGGCGCTTTTCATCTGAGAAGGCCAAGAAGAAGCAGGTGGGATTAGCTGTGTCAGTCTGCCCAGTGGTGGGAGAGCACCCGCAGTGGAGCATTTGTCTCTTGTGACATGCATTCCATCATCGTTCCCAAGAAGACTGTCGAGTTTTGCCGACCTCCCAAAGGGAATGTAATCCAGATGGTTCGGAGGCCAATAGCCTGGTTCCTTTTTCTGAAGAAATCCAGATTTCCCACGCTTCAGAATATCTATCCTCAGCTCGTAGCAGGGCTCCTGTAGCCCAGCATTCAACCATTCGGATCTCATGTGTTGCCGCGATCTAGCACATGCAAAGATGACGTTTTTGAACCTTCAGGGGAGCAACATAAGATCTGGCGCATGGGTATTACTGTTCGGATGGCCGACTCTCCGAAGTAGTGCCACATGGTTGTCTTGGCTTCTCCGCATGTTGCAGGGCAGTCGTGATGTCATGGCTGTCTGTTACGAAGTCGGCAGGTCACATGTATCAAGTGGAATCCTCGATACAATGACCTCTGTGCTGTTGGCTTTGGTTCCTATGCTTCCTGGCTGCATCAACTCAAGTCGAAGAGCAGGTCGGGCTTGAACATACGGCCGCCTAGGGGCTCTAAAACCTCGGAGATTTTAGAGCCCTTCGGAAAAGCTAGAGGCTCTAAAATCTCTGAGTTTTTTGGCGCGGGTGGCGCGACCAAAAATCTCGGAGATTTTTGGTCGCGCGGCCCTTGCCTGGGGAGCGGTCTTCCGACTGATTTATCTCTCTTTGGCTGTCTGCGCGGCTGCTCGGTGGAGCGCATAGAGCCAGGACGGAGAACCAAAATCTTTCCGAATTTATAGGTTGGCCGTGTCTGTCCACGGGGATTTATGCGTTCCCCCGAGCCGCCGCGCAGATAGTCCAAGAGAGATAAATGAGGCGGAAAGACTGGGCCGGATGCGGGGGCCGCGCGACCAAAAATCTCCCGAGATTTCGAACCATTTCTCTCTCTTTGGCTGTCTGCGCGGCGGCTCGGTGGAACGTGTAGACCCGGGGCGGAGATCCAAAATCTTTCAGAATCTATAGGTTGGCCGTTTTTGTCACGTGCGGTCTTACATGTTGATTATTCATTGGGCTTCACGTGCGATTTTATACGTTGCTTTCTCATCGGGCTTCCCGTTATGGGCACTCTCAAACAAATATTTTCCGCTGCTGTAGGCAGCTGGTCAACTCTAGTATGCCTTATCATGCTGAACTATGTCATCTGCTTGGCCATGGGGAAGCAGCGGCTTGTCCGTTGAAACTTCCCTTTGGAAAAAGAAGTTGCAACCTTGGAGAAGAGCCCAGGACTTCATGCGTCAGGGCACTGGTGTTATCTGTTGCTACTCCTTGAAGAACACCCGCTTCCCTGAATATGTGTTCAACACCGACGCCGGTGTCTGCTGCCTGGAAGCTTGGCTCCTGCGTAGCTGACATAGATGCCTCTTTCCGTGCCTCACCTTGCATGCTCACACAGGACTGGCATCCCGTTCATCCAGCAGTTTTGGCTGTGGGACTCTATGATGGCACAGTGCTGGTCTATGACGTCCGGGCAAAGACCAAGAAGCCAATCTACCAAAGCACTGCCTCTTTTCTGAAGTGTCCTCTTTTGTTGCTTGTAGCATGCGTGCTCAGCTCCAAGTACTAAGGTTCGAACCAACAAGCACACGGACCCAGTGTCTTGGATTTGTGGTGCAGAGACGACGTTACAAACACAAGCGAAGTCATCAGTATGAAATTTCACACAGCTTGCTTATATCCTGCACGCGGCGTCCCTTGCCACATGCAAGATGACCAGCGTGAGACAGGGAGAGTTCGGTAACTGATCCGGTAGGGTCTTCCTTTGGGTAGCTATCGTGTCCTGCCGTCCTGCTACCGCTCGAAGAGCACTTGCCAGCAAGGTGTGGGAAGTTCGATGGAATGATGATGAATCTACTGGAGCCATGAACTTCTATTCCATCTCCTCAGACGGGCGAGTCTCAAACTGGTTCCTGCTGAAGAACAAGTTGGAGAGCGAAGAGGCCGATGCCATTCTGGTCTTGCAGTGACAGCTAATGATGGGGAGCTCAGCCCTCGTTGAACCTGCAGAACACCTGCCCGAGGTCATGGAGCTAAAGCTGATAACTGCAGCTGCAGGTGAGGACGAGACAACCTTGGCAGGCGCGGGTGCGTTCAGCAACGGGACCTTGCACCTGCCTCGCTTCAATTTTCAAGGACAGTGTAAGATGTAGGGGTAGATAGGTCCCCATTGCTTGAGCATTGAGGTCTGGCGGGAGGCCTCTGCTTTGATTTCCGCGGTGGTAAGGACAAGTCCAAATGTGATGCATGAGCATGTTCCTAGGTTTACATGCAAATTCTGTTGAGGGACTGTGTAGGAGAAAGCCGGAATCGGCTTCTTGCTGTAAAGGAGAACCACCTTTTCTTAGTCGGCACAGAAGAAGGACGCATTCACAAGTGCTCCAAAGCCTTCAGTGGCCAGTACCTCGAGACTTATGAAGGTCACACCATGGCGGTGTATACAGTGCGCTGGAACCCCTTTCATGACAAGATCTTCTTGTCTGGTTCGGCTGACTGGACGGTAAAGCTGTGGAATCATGACAGCCGGCAGCCAATCCTGTCCTTCGACTTGGCACAGGCAATCGGGGATGTGGCCTGGGCTCCGTATTCATCTACCACTTTTGCAGCCATTACCTCTGAAGGTGCAGGTGGCTCAACTAGTGGAGTGGTTCACATCTATGACCTGGATGTGGACCGAAACAACCGCGTTTGCGAGCAAAAGGTAGTGAAGCGTGCAAAGCTAACGCATGTTGCATTCAGCTCCAGTGAGCCCATCATTATCGTTGGCGACGATCGCGGAGGTGTGAACACCTTGAAGCTGTCTCCTAACTTGAGACTTGGGGTTGTGCGGACGGAAGATACAGATCCAAACCTGACCGACTGGGACCTTCAGATCCAGAAGATGGAGCACTTGATGGAGATGGTCACAGAGACCAAGCCAGCATAGAAGTGGAAGCTCCCTGAATTCATCGGCCGTTGCGATGTTTTCCACTTGCTGCATGAAAGCTTCATGGCACTTCATGGCCTCTGACTGGTACAGAGAGCATCTGCAGAAACGATATGCTGCCGTGCTCGCGAGAGGTCTTGCACTGCATGCCCTTTGCACAGCTCTGAAGCATTGCCTGCTTTGCGGTGCCATGACTGATTGACCACGGACAAGTTTGCAGCTTCATCAGTTCGAGAGGTGGCAACGCTTTGGTTTGTGCAGCTGTCAAGAATGGTCTGAACTCTGAACAGCACCGTTTCACCCTGTCAATCCGAACCGCACCAAGAAATGAGTTTCCCCGGACGACCTGCATTTTTCAGCGTCACGGACTAGATGAAGGGACTTCTCGTTCCAAAGCTTTTCCTCCCTCAGGATAGGTGTGGCAGAGGGGACCATGGCGCTGCTTGAGCAGGAGATCGTTGTCAGTCACAGCATGGGCAGATTTGCAGGCACCGTTAAGCCAGGACGTGCCCTTCTTCTCGCAGCTGACAGTGCGGGAGACCATTTGCTTTGCGGCACTGCTGGAGGTTATGTGCGCTTGACGGATGGTTGTATCTGCACTGTAGCATGAACATTCAGGGCATGTCAACCAGCGCCGCGGCGACGGAAGCGGCCACCCTCCTGAAAAGATTGAGGCTTGTGCTGGTGGGAGGGTAAATGCTGTCAGTCTGTTTCTGAGACAGGCTTGAGACCGTGTCTGAGAGACGTGTTGGTGAGCGCTACATTGGCAGCTCAGGCAGCCTGGAAGAAAATCTCTAAATTGCCTTGCCAGTGAACTTGCCAGTTGAAGCTGCTGTCAGGCCAGGGTTTGTGCGCAGCCTAGTGTCAGCTGGAAAGCCGAATGCGCAAACTTTCGGAAGAAAAGAGGGGCCTACCAGGTCTGGTGGTGAGCAGCGTCGCTTGGCGTTAGGCTGTGCGCTGGCGGGTGAGGTGGGGTGAGCTGGACTGGTAGGGTTTAGGGTCATATGGGTATAATGGAAACGAAAATGGAAACCACTAGGGGTTGTATAGGGGGTTATATAGGGATAGTGGAAAAGAAAATGGAAATTGCTGTCATGGGTTATAGTGCCTACGGATGCAACTGGTCCTATTGAGCAACTGCTCGCCAGGGTGAAGCAAGGCGATCTAAAGCACTGCTGGCTGATGAGCCGACAACCGGTCTGGACGGGCTGGCTTAGGGTGAGCCTGCGCGTTTTATCGAATATGTGCGAGCTATACCAACTAAACTCCTCAAGGCGGGGGGGTTATATAGGGGACTATGTAGGGGACTACTATGGGGGACATTCAGGTAGATGCTAGGAGTTCAGGCTATGTACGGCTCATGTGGGGATGCACCGCAGGACACCTTCCAGGCTGCTGACATGGTCCAGCTTCTTGGGGAGTTGGGAAAAGCCCGTAGCTGCGCCACCATTCTGCCAGCACCGCAGACTTGTGGACTCTGCACAGCCAGTACGTTCTTGCTCATTGCAAACGAGGACCATCCATCAACCAAGATCCTCCGTATGGAGCATGATAGAGGACGTGCTGCTTCTTGCGCCGTTCCGTCAGCAAGCAGAGCAGTTGTCTCATGCATGTTTCGCAAATCAGCTTGGCAGTGGCACTCCTAAGGCCAGGAGGTCGGCCAATCTTCTGCGGCTCCACTGAGCAGGAGTTCTTGTTCTGGAATGGCAATCCTGGCCTTATACGTCCATGAAAGGCCCTCCATCATCTCGAAGGACTCGGGCACAAGTGCCCTCGTGAAAGGGTGCACCCTGCAAAGTGCAGCAGTGTAGCTGGCTCCACGTCATGGATTCACAGGATTTTTGCTTGAAGGTGAACCCCGCAGACTTCCTCATAGATTTGATCTCCGTGCACAGTAGTGGGCCAGAAGCAGAAGCTGACAAACAGCGAATAGCAAGGCCGGCTGCGCATAGCGCATGTCTGTTGTCGAGGAACGGTTTCCCACTTCATGTTGAGGTTGGCTGATGCTATGGTTGATACTGTGCCAGCAGTCGAAGGCGGAAGAGTTCAAAGCCACCTCAGAGTTGTTGCGAGATAGGAGGTAGGCCGCATGGGCTATGCAGCTAATCAGCTCATCCTTTGAAATGGTCGTGAGGCAAGCGCGACTGTCATGAGATTTCGCGCCTTGCTGGTTTTGCCGGTTTTTGGCTTCTTTTGCGAAGAGCCTGGCTTCAGACTTCACGCGACAAGGTGGCTGCAATTTACAGGTACAGCCACTAGCTAGCATGCACTTAGCAGCTTAGCACTGCAGGCCACAAACCTCTCCCGCTTGCTGTCCACAGCGGGACTGGGTGCTTTGACTTCTAATATTCTCCAGCTCCCCTTCCTGTGTGCAAAAGCAAATGTTGCAACAAGCGTGCAAGGTCTGATCTTCGGCGCGCAGTTTGGTTACTTCGGGACGGAGATGTGCACTTCTCAGCTGACTTCCGAATGTGAAATTAAATGGGACTTGCTGCATGTTCCCGCAATCTCCCTTGAGGACGGCTGTTGGTGTCACCTCGCGTGCCAGAGCCTGCCTGCTTGACTGTTGACTGACGCTCTTCCATCAACGATCACTAGGTTGGATTGATCTCGTTTGGTACGATCTCCATGGCCTCATGCTCAGTGTTCCGGGATCAGCCTTCCGCGCGTCTGCCCGTTGGAATCTCTAGGCATTCGTCGGTGAGATGCGAGCTTTGGACCAGTTTGCCAAGGAAAAGAAGGTTGTTGGCCGAGAGCGCAGCTGCCTTCACTTGGGGGGGATGCTTGCAACGCTGCATGCATCTGCATGTGGCTTATTACTAAGGCGCAGCTGGCTACTACAGTGGTTTGACCTACCTCTGTGCCAAAGCAGTTGCGGAGTTGCCCTCAGATGCCCTGCCCGCGGCTTGGCCACTTCCAAGGCATCTGCGCGCATGGCAGCACTCACATTTTGCGACTCAACTTAGGTTTGCCTGCTTGTTTGTACGCAGCTCATGCTCTACTCTTGCATGCTGAGGGCCCTCCATCTCCTCATTACCATGTCAGTCAGGCTTTGATGGTGCACCTGCGCTGTGGTCTCCGAACACCTTTGACTACTCTGGCAGCTGTGTATTCCCTTGTGGTCTGCACCTCAGTCTTCGATGCTTCCAAGGCGGTCAGCGCGTGTCAACACTAATTAATCATTCCAACCTGCGAAGGCACTGGCATGTTCAGCTCTTGGGCTTGCAATAGGTGCTGTGCGCGGTGTTGGTGTTTGTAGTTTTATGCATCCAAATGGGAGGTGCTGCCATTACAAATGGCGAGCGAGCAATGACAGCTGGTATTCCGGTCATGCGGCGCCCCCGGTGTGTGTGCGTGATTGAGTGAGTGAGCCAGTCAGTCAGTGAACCTTGCTAGGACATGCAAGCAGGGGGCCACTCCCAACTTGATCCCACATGACATGGCATGCATGCCACATGAATGTTTACACAAAGTTGAATTCATACATGCAGGGGGACACAGCATATCACTTGGACTGTGTCCAACCAAGCTCCAGAGCCATGGGAAGAGAGGATTTATCATCCTCCTTGTACCTGCATATGGCAGCCCCATGTGGTAGCAAGATTGGAGCAAGGACAGCCCCCCAGTTAAAACATTCCAGCATCCAGCATGTTGACCTTGAAGCGTTGGAATCAGTGCTTGTGTCGATGATTGAAACATGGAGTCTTGCAAGAATTTGCAGAGAATGCAGCATGAAACATGGCAATCAGTGCATGTGATGAGATTGTGCCAGCAACACAAGTTCTCCACAAGCACTCGAACAAGTTTCTCAAGGGCATCGCATGTTCAGTTTGAGGACCGAGAAATCTTATAGTGGACATCCGAACATGTTCTTTCCATCATATCGGCTTTACAAATGTGCGATTGTCTGCGATCAGCAAATGCAGCATACAGTGGCTAATCGACGGCCGGTATTTCTCCGATTTCATTGAGGACGGTGCATATGCTGACTGGGGTGATCGACCCAGCCGGTGACGCAGCCGCTTCGCCTAGCGCGACAATGGTCGCTTTGCCCAGGCCTTGGTCATTAGAGTCACATAATCAGGCAAGGACCTTGCTGCTCTGAGGCGAAGCATATCACCCATCCGGTACGCCATTGAGGCCGTTGATTGGTAGCAAGTGAATGGAACGGTTGAGCGCAGGCATGCATAGGTTAGCGAATGCAGCAAGCGTTGATTCGGAGGTAGAAGTCAGTGCAGTGGGCTAGGTAGTGCATGTACTTGCATTCTCGCCGGATGTTTTTAGCTGACGCGGCTCAAGCCTGGAGTCGCTTTCGATCTGATCAGGCCGAACACCCAGAAAGCCGTCAACTTCCTTCGACCCTTCATTGTTGTGATTGCTTACAGCCAAGGACGCCGCCGCGCGAGACGAGCGTCATGGCGGGTAACTTCAACCTCCAGCGGATCCTGGGCAACATGCCAGGAATGGCAGGCAATCTTCAAGAGATTCAAGAGGCATTCATGTCTGCAATCGGCTTACCCAATACGAGAGGTGGTGGCCAGCAACCGCAGGAAGATGCTTCCCTGACAGATACCGCTGAGCAGGCTTCTGGGCAAGCTGTGATGGGTATGTTTGCGCAACTGAGCCAAGTTGTAGGTTTACATCTCCTCGTTGGCCTTGCTGCGACTTGTCTGCAGCTGTAGTCGTGTCCCAGTCTGTAATCTGCTACGGCAGCAGTATGAAGCGGTCAAGTGCTGGCACACTTCAACTCGGAAGGAAGATGCTAAAGCACGGCCGAGCTGGAGTTCCAATGGAGGTTATGGGCCTCATGCTGGGAGAGTTCATCGACGACTACACAGCCGCACAGATTGCACTTAGCTTTCCACTATTCATCGAATGGATGCAGCATTTGGCAACTCTGAGAAGGTTGCTGATGTTTGGCCGAGGTCCGTGTCGTGGATGTCTTCTCAATGCCTCAGTCAGGCAACAGTGTGAGTGTCGAGGCAGGGCGAGGATCTCAATCGCTCGCATGTCTCCATTCAGAAATGATATGTGATGCTCGAAGCTGTCCAGGCAGTAGACCCAGTCTTCCAAGCCAAGATGCTGGACATGCTTAAGCAGACAGGAAGGTGGGCTGGACCCCTTTTATGAACAACTGCCTACTATAGGCCTCGTGTGTCAGGCCAGAGATGGTGGTCGGTTGGTACCACTCACACCCAGGCTTCGGATGCTGGTTCTCCGGCACAGCCGGCACCTCGTGGGGTTGTTGGTTTGCTTGAGATGGAGGGAAGGGGAACTTAGATGGAGTGAGAGGTACACAGAACATTATACGAGAACAAGCGCTGAGACAAGTCACTATTTCTTCGAGTGGGAGGTACAGCAAAAACCGATGGCCTTCATCATTGTCACTGCCACCAGTGGCGAATTCAGAAGAAGAGTATCCTTCGCCTCCGGCGGTCAGGGGCGGCTGCATAACCCGAATTTTATTCTCACTTTGCTCAAAATTCCGCACGCAACCACCGGGGATGCACGCTGACACGCGCTGAGACGAATGGAGACGCCGCAAGCTATTTCTCAGCTGTCATGCAAACGGCGGATGAAGGCTTTGCAATCACATCTTCCTCCTTGCAAAATCCAGGGGATACTGTTGATGGAGGAAATCTGGCACCTATAGAGTTGCTGAAGTATTGTACTTCGCAGGAGGTAGGAGACTCAATAGAAGTGGTACATAATTTCTTTAAATTTCTTCCATTAACGGTTACTACGATCACTTAATGGCCTTCAGGCTCCCGCAGCTCTGGTTTATTAAGCATGGGGGCAACGGCTCACAATGCAGGCCAGTCTCCTAAACACAAATACAGTGCGGGCTAGAGCAGCAGCGCCATGAATCAAAGCAGGGTTTTGCAAAAGGTGACCTTGGCGAGGTGAGACGTGGGGTGGGATTCCTGCGTCCTTTCTGTTTTGGTGCTGCGCAACTAAGAGTGTTGCAAGAGGGCCCGGGCGAGGGTAAGCTCACGAGTGCGCGGGAAACGGATGCAAAGCAATGCAAAACAGTCAAAGCCAGGCCACAAGAAAACACAAAGCTTTGGACGCATACCGTCTGAGTGGTCTGGTCATGTGTTTTCTGTTTAGAAGGGCCTGCATCAAGGACATCAATACGCAGCAGAGCTTTGAGCAGCTGAACCCCAGAGCTGTGGGGGTTGTGGTGGACCCGATCCAGTCCGTGAAGGGGAAGGTCGTGATCGACTGCTTCAGGCTTATCAATCATCAGATGCTCATGCTGGGGCAGGACTGGGAGCAGCGCTTGCCATGAAGTTTTTGGAAAGTGCAGGGCATGCCAGTCGAGAAGCAGGAAGATGCATGAGGTGTCCTCCTCTCAGGAGCCCAGGCAGACCACGTCAAACATCGGCCACCTCAACAAGCCCAGCATCACAGCCCTGATCCATGGCCTGAACCGCCCCTTAGCTGCATGGCATTTGTTTGCTCTGTAGGGAACTCTGGGCGTGCGCAGGGTCTATGCCATGGCTGAGGCCATTACTATTCCATTGCAATCAACTACCGGAAAAATGACCTGGAGCAGAAAATGCTCTTAAACCTGGGCAAGAAGAAGTGGCAGGACCGGATATCGGGCATGGCCCTGGCGATTGAATTCACTTGCATTTTGCCAGGATGGTCTGAAACTCACAAACTTTGACACGCACGAGGGCGACAATGAAAAGACGGCCGGGTGCTTGCTGAGCATCATGCAAAGATGCTATTGTTGCTTTTCGCTTTCAGGCTGAGCTGTGGTCGTCATCTGAACTTGCAGATTTTTGCAGCAGGTCAAGGAGATGCTCGACCTCACTGAGCCTTGGATATGCATTCGCCGGCCGTTGCTAATGGGCTGTTAACTTCTTTCCGAGGTGTGGTTCCTCCCCAAAAATCTAAGGAGAAATACAACAAAGTCATCCAGGAGGAGTTCAAGAGCACGGAAGATGAGTTTGTAGTGAACCAGGCAGGCATTTTGGGACGGCTGCAAGTCCAAAATGCAATCTTGCGCTGTGGCCCGAGGCGGGTAAGGTTGACGCCAAGAAGCGGCTCGAGCGTGACATTGATGAGATCATGACGAACAACATCCTGCTCCCCGGTTTGTATGTCATGTTCAGTTGTTTTGCAGCAGAGCTACAGGTTGTGCAGGGGGGATACGGATTCTGTTTCACAGTTCGCATCTATTTCTTCGTGGCTCGGAGTATGTGCTAACAGCAACAGCCACGACAGCCCAATCCTCACCAGGCAGTCCTTGGGATGCATGCTGGCCAACGTGGTCTTCTGAGATAGTCCGCCTTTTGTGCCTCGAAAGCAGGCCACTGGAAGGAAGGAAATGCGAGCTGCGCTCTGACAAGCAGGAAACCAGACAACCAAGATCGAAGCAATCACAGTTGGTAACTGGTTCGAGCCATTAAGCTGTTTCATGCGCAAGCTTGCGTGAGGGGCCGGTACAAGCCGCAGCACTCACTTAGAAGCACAGATCTGGCTGCTGGTAAAAGTGGAGAACCAGACTGGGCTGCTACTAAGGAACTGAAATTGAGGTACCATGATGGGTATACAAAGTACATAAATACTGCGTTTTCCCCGATTTAGGAAGTTAGACTAAGTTCCTTAACAGCAACCCTGCAGAGTCTGTTGTCATGTGCGAGGAAGGTGCATGTCAAGAGACGAGCTGGCCTGCAAGGCACTTTGCACCCAAGAGTTCACGGGAGCGGTGCTGGCGCCAAATCCGCAAGAGGCGCGAGCAACCCATAGAATGGCTCAGAGATGTTGAGCAGAGATTGAAGAGTTGAGCATCCTTTGGCCCACCTTTTTTTTCTAATTGCTGGTGCGTGTTTGGTCCTTTGGCTTCGAGCATTTGCGACGTTTGCATTGCTGCGTGAAACAGCGCGGTGGTCGCGAGCCGTTAGCTCCAGAAACCATGGCCACCGCAGCTAGCCTGCATTACACAGCTGCGAGGTGCTGTGGATATGGGCCTTGCCCATGGCCCAGTAAGTGCTGCAATCAGGTCACGATGGAAGATCTGGAGAGGCGCCTGGCTGCCCTTGAGAAGTCCTTGGAGACAGACGGTGAAGGCCGTGCAATCTTGAGCGTCGAAAGGGCAAGCAGCAAAGTGTACAGTTAACTTTTTACCCACTATACTCACCAG